AGACACCCTCACAAGTTCAGGGTGTCTTCACGGACACCTGCATCAGAACTGCTTGTGAAGATGACAGTCCTGAGTACCAGCCCAGATGCCACAGGAAGTCTGGTACCTTAGAGAAACTGCTCAAGTATTTCTTATACATCCCCAAAGTGGGAAGCACAAGTCTACATCTATCTTTCTATTTATCTGTTAGCAAAATTCTCACAAAACTGCTGCTTGATCTAAAGCTTCTTTGAGGTTCCTAATTTCTAAGCCACTCTGCTGTTTTTGATTCTGACCTGGCTAACAGGTACTCTTGTTCTAACGGGGCCACTTACAGTCTGACCATGGTGGCCCTTAGTCCTCTGGGGCTGATGCTATGCCTCTCTTATTAGGACACAGCCAGCAGGGCATGGCTAGGGTTTGATCACACCATCCAGATATGGATTTTTCAGACAAACAAGCTCAGACAATGGTTTTATGGCGCCAGGTATAGCATTTCACCTTCCTGGTCCTTGGTGACATAAATAAATTTCAAATGGAAATCTTGCAATAAAATATCTGGTTCTGCAGTTTTGCTATAACCAGCATCCAAGGGATCAGATTCTCAAACCAGCAATACAGTAAGTCAGAACGGTTTTCACCAGGCAAAAGGAAATCAGCATGAATATCATCTCCAGGGTTTACATATGCTCTCTGTGCTGAGACTCCCACTCACTCACATCTGTACCACAGAATCCACCTCTGGACTCCAGATGCACCATATAGGATAGATCTGGCCCTACTGGCTGTCTTAGTCCCTGGAACTTGCAGCTTGCACCAAAGAGAAAGCTCTGGAGGCCCACTCTGCCTTCCTGCCCACCTCAGGAATGTACCCTGGTACTCTCAGTGGCTCAACCTCACCCTGCCCCTTCCTTTCCCTCACCCTCCTGCCCACATGTAAGCTTCGGCAGTTTTATGGAGCTCATCTCTGACATGCTGGCATGATTCAAACCCCATCAGTGTTTTCTGTTTCTGCCTCCAGTCCCCTGGGCCAAGCCACCACCAACCGGCAGCAAAAACCCATCTACAAGCAGAGCAGAGCACATTACCCTGGAGAGGCCTCACCTCCCACGCCAGCCTCACTCCTTACAGCCCGACCCTTGGTTTGGTCTACAGACAGTTCACTCGGGAGTCCTCTAACAGCCCTACTTTTGTGGCATCCAGGGCCGAGAGCACAGCCCTTTTGTCACAGTGGCTTGTCATCACATCCGATTTCCACTCAGAGGTTCACTCCTCAGACATCACAAAACTTTTCTGACCAGATTATCCAGAGGGACCACAGCCACCACTTTATTTTTTTATTTTTAACATCACAGTTCAATGAACTTGAATCAGAGGGGCAATATAAATGATTAAATGATTAATTTTATAATGAGTCTGTTGAAGTACATAAAACTTAAGCCATTCAGCCACTTTTGTCAGGACAATAAGGTTACTTTTGTAAATTCCTATTTTCTGTTTCATTTCCTGGATAATTCCAGAGTAATTTGATTTTATGACCAGGTAAAGGCTGTGGCACGCACTCTCTCTTAAGTAAATGCGTCTGCTCATGAAAGCACATCTGGTTGTTTTTACTTATTGTACTTGTTGGAAATGGCATGGCCTCATCTAGCTTATCTGCTAAGCCTTCACTGGCTGAAGGGACGACTAGATGAATAGGTCTTCGTTTCCGTTGATGGCTTCCAATGATGACGTCACCAACCTTGGGATCCCGTAACTTTCCAACAGCTCCACCAGCCAGCCCTTCACCATGTGAGCCTCTGTGAGGGGGGTGAGGGGGGCAAACCACACTCAAACTGTAACATCCTCGAAGACAAACCTCAGCCGAATGAACAGTTCTGTGTTTTCTGCTGCAGTCTCAGGTCAGCCATGGGGTAAAGGGCATTGCCTAATGTAGTGTCTTCCCTCAAATGAAAAACCTCTACTATAACAATATTCCTTGGGGAAAATAATCAAAATATTAAGAAATGTGGCCCTCTGAACAAGACTAAATCACTGGCCACCTCACAGCCAAAGCTCATTACTAAAGGTGAGAACAGACGGCACACCAATAGGATCTCGTTCTAAAACAGCTCTCATTTCAGATGGAGAACACAGAGTTGTTC